CTTGAATTACTTTTAAGTGTTAGAAACTTTGAACATGATACATCAGCTTAACATTACAGAGTTAATAACATCAAGATATATATTATCTATTAAAAGAAAGAACTGCAATAGAACAAAAAGTGTAATTAATAAAATAGTAGTTTCTTAAATATTATCTAACGGTAAAATTTTAGAAGAAAGAATATTTACTATTTACAAAATAGAAAGTCATTGTTGCCTTTAACTTGATTTTGCTAGACACTACAGAATGAAATGTTATAAAATTTTATAGAATAGATTTTCTCAAAAAATTAGTCAATAATAGCTGTTTATTATGAACTTATGTCTTAGAGAAAAAAATGGTTTGTGAAGACCGCATTTTCACTAAATGAGAGGAAATATCATCTTCCTTTTTAATGACTTAACTAAAGGAGATTCTACGCCTTTCCATAATAGGTTTGAAGCCCTCATATAAACTGTTGAGATTCACTAATAAAATATCTTAAGCTTCAGCAAAAGGTTTGCCCAGACGGTCCTGGCTCCTTCTACAAATATGATTAGAACGGTTGAGTCCACCCTAAAAACTTTTTACTGCTCACACCGCTATTCCAAATCAAATACAAGAGCTTTTCAGAGAATTTTGACTTCAAACGATGTGTTGATGTTAGTAGTATAAGAAAGAATTTATAAGTTTTATAAATGAAAGATTTAGCTTTAATTAGTAGTTTTGCAACGTAGGACCCAATGATACTGATTAATCTGGTAACGATCTAATGAAAAACGATAAGGTTAGGTAAAACAAGATCACAATTTATATTGAATTAGCGAACAATCACTCTTCAACAGTGATCTTACGGGAAAAAGTTCCTGAAGAAAAGCATGATTTACCGCGATTTCAATGAACTGTGAAAGCTGAAATGTCTACACTTCAACACACATCGATGAAAACTATGATAAGAACCGCAAGAACTACTGTTCAAGTTGCAAAAAACCTCAAGTCGGAATGCATTGATCTCTGTTCTCAGCGTGATTTTTATCCAACACAATTTTCATCGGTGCGTATATAATTACATAAACAGTCCGACATTTGCAAGTTCATTGAAATCGTCGTTTTATCAGAATTTCTTTTTCGTGGAATACGTGTTACAGACAGTCGTTATTTGAAAATCTCGTTTATATTCATGACAGTGTATGCTTTTCAAGAAGAACAAGACAAGTATTTTAGATGCTTGATGAAGATTAGCACAGATTCATTATTGAAATAAAATACAACAAGATGTAGCAGTATTACAAATAAATATCTAACAATTAGAGAACAAAATAAAAATGTAATAGTTAAGCATGATAATATGATGAACCAAGTTGATTTTCACCTCTTGTCAAAAATATGCATTAATAATATTTTGGTCTTTTCATCAGAAAAAAACATCATGTGTTACATAAACCAAAACATATCACAGTAATCAAACATCCTTTACCAATTGACACATTGCTGCTAAATAACAATCATTCATAAACCAGGCATGACTTTTCTATGATTAAAGTATCATTTTTATCATTAATAACTCATCTACTCAAGTTTCTTCAACTTTGATAAAAATATAGGCAACAGAATAAGTACTATTATTCTATTCGATGAATATTTACGAACATGACTATGTATGCATCAACACTCATACTAACTTCCAGAAGTGGTTTCCTAATACTGCTTCTTTTGTGGTTTCGTTTTAATACTGAGCTTTCTTCATGTTATCATAACGATCGGAAGTAATAAACAAGACGTCCGTTTACTAATAAATCTCGTTTTCTACCATGTAACACAAGTTTACTGTGAAAGAAAACTAGATTCTTTAATACTGAATCGATTTTTTCTCTATGAAGCTTCTCTACGAGTTTAGTGCTAAAAGTATGCAAAATAGAAACAGACGCATCTTTGTCGGCGAAGTTTAAGAAAGCATCTTAGTATGACACATGACACAGGACATTTATAATGTTATATGAGTTACTTTTCATAAAAAATTAATAAGAAACTAATTGAATAATGTACACATGAAATGTGAAAATACCAGCAGTGTTCAGACTTCCGAAAAAGGAAATTTCGGAAGTTTTGGAAATTTCAAACACTTGTGTTCTAAATTGTGTGATACTTCTCAAAATTATGTAATTTCCGAAATTTCCAAAATTCTATACATAGTGAAATTTCCGAAATTACAGAAAATTCTAAAATTTCTAAACTTTCCAATATTTCCAAAATATTTTCATTTGCTTTGCTATGTAGTTATCGAGTTGATGGAAACTTCGGAAATTTCTGTAATTTCCTTTTTCGGAAATCTGAGCATACCTCGAAAATACATTTTAAATAATCGTTATTTTGTAAATTTATAGTATAGAAAATTATATTAGACAAAACTATTACTTCAGATTAGGAAGACCTTTCATGATTGATATGACAATGTGATTTTCTTAAAATTTTTCTTAAACATTTTGTTCGTCGAAAAGAACATGTATTTTTTGTTTGAATAATGTTAAATATAATATTTAGAATAAGTTATACAAAAATGTAGGTACAAGAAAAACAAAATAAGTGATTGATGTTTTACAAATGTCAACATAACATAAAATTCGATGTTGTAAATACAATCGTTTTTATTTAACATATTTGGATAACATTAATTGCAAACAAATATGTCAACCAATTGCTTTCCGGAAATATTATTTTAAAATGATAATTAACATTTCTTTTTTTTCATCATTCAATTCTGCTATGGGTAAAAATTACTTATCATCAAAACACTACAGAAATTTCCTTTATACCGAGCTTAGAACAACTAATAAATAATGAAATACAAAAGGCAATTGCTTTTGTTTTTATTTTGGTTTTTCATGTTTCACTTCAAATAATAATTAATCTTATATTTGTTCTAAAAATGTTTTCTAGTGTATTTAATATTCGAATAAATTCATAAAGTTTTATTATGTAACAGATGTTGTAACGTATAATTATCAAATGTTTATATTTAATAGATATCAATTTACATATTGTCGGAATTCACTGTCTGTATATTTGATATAAAAGTAAAACTTAATGCAATGATTTTCATGTATTTCTCTATAAAAACCAATTTCATTATTTGCCACGTCAGAAGACAATAGTAGTCATTACATAAGTCTGTAATAAGTTTTTAAATAGTGAGAAAATATCTTTGATTTTTTAAAATAAAAGTCGAAATGACAGTATAATCTGAATGATGGATGCATAGGTTTTCTTTCTATTATGTAAAAAAGATTAAAAAAAAAAGAATTTGTTCTTAGATAATTTCAAACTCTTGTTCTCTCTGTATGATTCCTGAATAGAAAACCAACTTTTCGTATTAATTTTAATGCATGACTTATAAGAATATAAAACAATTTTAAGCAGTAAAATACTTCTAAAAATAAAAATCACATAATACATCTCATACTAATTATAACATATATCTGATTTAGCATTAGTAATTCATGCCTATATCTATTAATATGTGAGCACAAGTGTCTGATGTTTCGTTTTTATTTCATAATATTCTTATGACGATGTTCTCAGGTAAAGTACATTAACATTATGGATAATGTTTCACAGTACAAGAATAAAGAAGAGGTAACTCAATATAATTGACACGAGTGAAAAGTGCAAAATACCATTTCGTAGAAGCCAACAAATAATGAACATGATGTTGTTTCTATTAAAATTCGGTCGTTTTCTATGCTATTATCTGGTAAAAATATTTGCTGAAAAGAAAAAAATAATGGTATTAAATAGATCTTAGCAAAATATATGTCAATTTTTTATCATATTGATAATTGAAGTCTTATTTGGAGATGTTTGTTTGATTGAGAATATTACATCACTCCTTTTTTTGTTCACCATACTTTCTAGATTCATAGTTGCAGAAAATCTTTAGTTCATATTTCTTAATGATGTATTTTGAAAGAATAATTCTGCACAAATCAAAAGCGGCCCTTTCTTTATATCCTATTAAAGAGTTTACGACTGCATTTCTGATAATTATCATGAACGTCTTTTCTATTTTTAACCTATATGTATATGGAGAGTTTAATAGAAAAGAAGTCATATTGTGTTGAAATTATCATTCATTTTATGAATATCATCTAAGATTTAGTCTATATAAAGATTTGAAATTGATTTTTTCCATGGAAATATCATACATCGCATAAAATCATTGAATTCAGTACATCATTACTCAGGCAACTGCATAGGTTTACTTTAAAATTGATTATTCATATGTGTTACATATATAAAAAAAAGTATGTCATGTCTCAAAAATCAGTTCTTATACAATAATTAAACACTTTTAATATCTATTTGTTTAAAGAAAGAAAAAAAAACAAACTATGTGTTGTTAGATTACTATATGTCATATGGTAAACAAGATATACCTTTTTTCTTAATCATCTACATCATTAAATGATTAAGGACATTATGATTGATTTTAAACAACTATTCATTATATACTTTTAAGAAAAATCATGTTTTATAGACCTAATCATTAATAAATTTAGACAAACTTTTTCAAAATACATCAACCTTTCACTTTAAATTTAATTTATATATGTAACAAAAAAAAATACTAGTAAAGGAATTTTTACATTGACAAATCATGAATGAGTAGTATAATTTTTTAGAGTTCTTTTTTTTACGTGCTTTGATATATACTAAGGAATTAACGTCGATAACATATTCCACACTATTACATAAGTGATTTCCTAATTTTTATGAAAACGTTCAGAGATTTCTTTTTATTTTCAAATGAAGTACTGGTTCGGCTGCAATAATAACATTAGAATTTTTTAAATGTTTATTGTCGTTGCTTTTTATTCAAAGGTTAAGACCTCTTAGGAAAAAAAAAGTACTCAAGTAAACAAATTTTTCGTATTTCTTTTATTCGACCCGCGAGTTAAAACAGCGCGTTACATACAGCGGCAACAATCGCAAAAGTTCGATCGACTTTCATTTTAAGAGAATCTTAACGATGACAATATCTCGTCAATTCAGAAAGAGAGCATAGACTTTCACAACATGATTCTGTAATCACTCGTGATACTCTATTTGCTCTTGTCATTCTGTCAATTGGTGGATATATTCGACGAAAGAATAGTGGTGATGTTGGAGTAGTTCGTTGTCGAATACTTGGTACTGGTGTTGTTGTTGTTGTTGTTTGATGTTGTTCAACAACGCGACAAACAAGATTTAACATTAATAATAAATTTGGACCACAGGCATGAAATACTCTTTCCAATAAACAATCTTCTACTCGATAAAGTTTTTTTCGAATTTGAATAACACTTTTTTCAGTTAAATATTGACCCCCATATTCAACTACACATTGGTCATCACGTAAACGTTGACGATAAACAACATCGGCTGCTTTAATACGATGTAGTTTACCATCAATTATATGATGAACAGCACGTACGATTTTTGCTTTATCATGTTGATCATCTTGTTGTTTATTATTTATTAAGAAGCCTTTATTGATATCGTTAATACTGCTGTTATTTTCATTGGTGTTATTATTATCATCTATTGTTGATACTGTTTGTATGGTAGCAACCAGTGCTATTAGGCATAAGGGAATGTAACTATTGATCATGATACTGTATTACTAATTGGTGAATACTGTGAACTAGCACACTAAAAATTAAAGTCTTTTCTTATTGGTTTTCATCATTAAAAAATGAAAATGAAACCTTACATGTTCTGCGTTACCCGCGCTTGATCAACACAAATTAAAATTTGCCCGTAAGAATATTATGTCTTTTACATGCTTCTAAATATATTTTGACTTATATATATATATAATTTATCGAAAAAAAATTGCTAAGAGAAAATAGAGAGAAAGTAAACACAATAGAACTACAAGAAACAGGAAAACATTTATCTTTTTGAAAAAAACATTTTTATGGTTCTTAATCATACATAAGAAAGAAAAAAAACTTTAATGTCTTTTTTTAACGGAACTCTTTATATTGTCTATGTTTATTATGCCAACGCCAATTCTAACTTCCGTGAATATATTCAGAAAATAAATAGAAATATCATATGGCAAAGTTCTAAATGTTCATAGCATTTTTGTTATGCAACATTTACATTAAATAGAATTAAAACACCAATATATATCAAAATCATAGAGTCTCATGATTTATTTTATTTCTTTGTCATAAGTTTTCAAGAACTTGTTGATTTGTTTTTGTTTGGATATTTAGACAAGTTTACAATAAAAATTATAATCAAGAAATAAATGCTTAGGAAACAAGACGTGAACAAGCATATGCTACAGGGTTGCCAGATCTTCTGAAATGACAGGAAAGCTTCTGAATTTCAAAACTTTTTCTGATATTATTCTGACCTTCTGATTTTTCAGGTTTTTTTCGATTTTTCTGGTTTTACTGTTTCACTGCGATATTTGTCCAAATTCTATTTCTGAATGAAGACTTTTCTCAAATTGATTACGATCATAATCGTTAGCCATATGAAACATGTATGGTCTGATTATCATAATTGCATGGACATAAAACTAGTTAGTGCTGAACTTAAGATAAGAATGAATGCTAATTATTCTTGTGAACAGTTCTAAAAACATATTTCAACTGATAAACATTTATTGCAGCAAATTCGAAAAATGAAAAATATCAATAGTATGGAACTCATATTGAATGAGTCTTTTTTTTAAATATCTTTTGATGTATATAGTGTATTTCTCGGTTTGTTTTTACTCATTTTATGTGAAAAACGTTTTGAGTTTAGTAAAAAGTTTGATACTAGATGTCTTTTGCTAGTTTGTGTGATATTCGGTGAACTACATATTCTTATTATTATTGTTTTTTTATGTTAAATATCTTCGAAAATAAATGAAGAATAGATGAACAAATTACAACTAAAGCATTTTGTAATAGTTTAGTAAAATAATAAGTGCCAATTTCAACATATTAGCCTTTCTGATTATTTTGTGATTTTCGAAAAAAAATTCTGAATATTTTCTGATTTTGATAGTCGGAATTTCTGATTTTTAAGTTTTTGATCTGGCAACCCTGATATGCTATCATTTTAATTATGTTTGTGAAATATATGTACCAAATATTTTCATAAAATTTTCACGAATGTATATATGAATAGTTTCTTATGATTTTGTAATTAACTGACGATATGAAAATAAAGTATACATATATATATATATATATATTAAGTTTTTTTTGAGTATATTAATTTCATTTTGTACATATATGAAGAAAGAGACAACACGAAAATAAGATTAAAGTTGAATGCATGTGTCTTGTGACAAAGTACAACATAAAAAATTAAAAATTTGATAAGGCTTTAATGATCGATTCTCTTCTTTTGTTTTCTATTCTTTCTATTATTTTCTTTCACCATTTTAAAGGACAATATTGAATTAATTCAGATACTGTACATGCACTTTTACAACATTCACTATAATAAGATCTATCAATAATATTAATTAGGTCATCTTCTGTTTGTCTTTTTTTCAATAATTTTTTGTCATAATGTTGTTCAACATATGAACATACAAGATTGTGCAATCGAAGAAATAATTGTGAACCACATGTAACTATATATGCTCGATTTAATCGACAATCTTCAACTTTAAACCATTTGTTTTTTATTTTGACTATTTCACCTTCAGTTATTGCAGTACTTTTGTCACCGTGATTCTTCAATTCAATCGTACATTGACCTAAATATGTATTAGAAAATTATATATATATAGAGTATTCTTGAATACGTATATTTTATTCAAACGCATATAGCTTTTCTATATTTATCTAAGAAATGTCTGTCATCCCGCCCACGAATAATTTTGTCTTCTCATGTGACATATAAAAAGTTTCAATGAGTTGTTAATAGAGTATTAGTTTCAATAGGTTAAGCATACCATGGTTAGAAATACGTTGTGTATATGTTGCACCAACATTTTTTATTGTATATTGTTTTCCATCAATATATTTTTCATCAAGTTTCTGTTTCATAGGTGAAGTGATAACTAATGACAAACAGCAAACTAGGAGAACAAGAGTCGTGAACATAGTGTTGTTTGTTTTGTTGAGCGGAAGAAAATGACAAGAAATAGAAACGAAGGATGAATATATAAAAATCTTGATGTTATGAAAGAAAAAAAAAAAAAAATCTTTAGAAAAAAAAAAACGCTCTAGAAAAGATTGCATGACCAATGTGTTTGGATGATGAAGAACAATGAAAAAGCCAATTTCTCGTGATTATGCTTGGCATTAAGACTGTCATAGATTCTTCTCTCTTCATACATTTTCATGTTTTCTTATCAGTTTGATGTTAGTTAGGATCATTAAGTAGAAATGGTTTATTTGAAGAGAAAAATACAACAACAACAACAAAAGAATATTAAATAGATCGTTCATAAATAAAAAAAGAAGTAAAAATATTCATTTACATATATATGATTTTCGATTGTTGAAAAATATTTTTTTTATCCACTAAAGTTCATCAGTCTTTTTTCAATGTGATCTAAACGATCATCAATATGTTGTTGAAGTTGTGAAAATTGTTTGTCTATATATGTTTGTAGACGATTTTCTAATGCACTTAACTCTTGTTTCATATTTTCGTTGTCTTGACTACCAGTACTTTTTATTTCTTCATTTTGAGAAGATTTGATCTCCTTAAGAATTGGCGTTAGAAGTGCAGGCGATAACTGTCTGAAATAAAACAAAAAAAAAGGCTAACGTCAGTAAAAGTACTAAAATCGGTAAGTCCATGTTAGAGAACATTAAATATTTATTATTAATTTTTTTTCTTGTAATTGTTAAATCCATCAAACGAAATGCTTACGTCAATAATCAATTGAAAGATATTTTTTTGTAATTGATTTTCAAATATTCATTTTGATAACAGTTAGTTACTTTTATATTTTTCATAGAATGAAAAGTATATTTTATTTTTTTATTCTTGACAACAAAATATAATCTACTTATAGAGAATGTATTTTGATATATTTTTTTTTTTTTTATAATTTTCTATCGATATGATATAATTGTATACAAAGTAGCCAATAATTTTCAATCAGTCACATAAACAAGAGTTTTTTTTTTTATTTACATATCATCATATGATGATATGTGATCTAATTTAATATAATTTATCATCTGGTAGATTTAATCAAAGAAATCTGAGATTGGTAAAGCTTATTACTTCAACGCCATCACTGATTAAAATGAAAAGATTTTCTTAGGTGAAAAAAAAAAAAGATAATAATCCTATTTTGCGCATCTAAAAAAAAATACCACATATTTGAGGCTTCTTTCTTAATCAAAAATTCTGACAGAAAATTCCAACTGATAAATATTTTTAAAAAAATGTCTTACTTTGTATTAGAAAATGAGTTAGTCATCCCTAAAGAAACATTATCTAATTACATGTTAAAAAGTTAATAAAAACAAAAAGTTTTTAACCTTTCATCATTAACATAATTTGACTTAAATTCAATTGTTGCGATGAAGAAGAAGAAGAAGAAGAAGTTTCTTTTGTACGTCGTTGTTCTTGTATATGTTGAAGATCATTCATAAATTGACGAGCATTTGATGATAAACTTGTTTCATCAATCATTGAACGTACACGATTTAAATCAAATGGTAAATTCATCATTGGTAGTGATTGTACATTGAATTTTTTTTTACTTAGATTTATTTGTAAACAATAAACTATTAATTGTGTTATATCAGCAAGTTTTAAACACTGGTAACGAAAGACATTAAAATAAAAATAGTAATACTCAAACAAACTAAATTCGATAGATTTTACTTTTAATGTTATTTCTTCATGAAATTGATTAAATTCAAATGTTATTTCATAAATCGATTCACTATCAAGTTCAGTTATACGGGAACCTTGACAACTACCAATATATTCTCGATGATAAAACTAATAAAAAAATCATTAGAAAAAAAAAAATATATATATATATAATAATCATAATAATAATTTGAAAACTAAATTCTATATTACTTCCATATGTTTAGCATTGGATAAAAATTGAATGGAAATAATATGATATTCATCTGGTTGAAGAACACTTAATATTATAATTGGATCTTCTCGTTTGTCTGTTTCATTCGATCGAAGAATTACACTTGTAATATTCTCATCTGATGAAGTAGTTTTTCTAGATAAGATTATTCAAATAATTGAAAGATTTTATTCTATTTATTGATTTTTAAACATATTCAAATAAGTATGACTATTGAAAAATCCAAACAATATGATTTTCTTACCAATAGGAAAAGAAATTAAAAGTAAACTAAATAGTTCAAACAAAAGTATAATTATTATTAGCATATATACATTGTCACTCATTAAAAATTATCATATTTCATCTACGTATGATAGAATTGCATAATCATTGAAACTCGAATATTCTTCGAAAGAAAAATATAAAAAGATTTTTTTACATCCACATCCTAATTTGATTTCTGTTAATCAAAATCGTTATTATTATTTTAATAAACAAGTTCTTAATAATTATCAAATCAGTTTATCATCTAGAATTATTATTTCGAAAGTTTCACAACTTTCGTCTAAACAGAATGTTATTTGCAATACAAT